TTCTGATCTCTGTCTTTCACAGGACACCACCTCTCTGTCTTCATCTAAAGGAGTTGGAGGAGCAGGGGGAGGAGGAGGAGGAGGAAACATGGGTGTGTTCCGCTCTGGTTGGCTCTACAAAGGAAACTTCAACAGCACTGTCAACAACAGCATCACTGTCCGGGTCAGAGACTCCAGACTTTCTCCAGATCTTTTCTGTCTTTAACAGATTATAATAACACATTATTAATGTACACTTTGAGAATACTAGTGCGTAGGAGCTGGACAATATCTCAGTATTCTAATATATATTAATATACAGTACATAATAATAATAATAAAATAAAAAATAATAAAATAATAAAAATATAGTATGAATCACTTTTGTTGTCTTTCTGTCCCTGTAGTCGTTTAAGAGAAGGTTTTTTCAGCTGACTCAGCTGACAGACAACTCCTACATCATGAACTTCTACAAAGACGAGAAGATCTCTAAAGAACCCAAAGGCTGCATCTTCCTGGACTCCTGCACTGGAGTGGTCCAGGTCTGAGTCTTCCCTTCATCTCTGTGGTTCTTGTCCTTTTAACTTGTTTGCTGACATCCTGCCCTGTTGTCTCCACTGAAGAACCATCGTCTGAGGAAACACGCCTTTGAGTTGAAGATGAACGAGGTCACCTACTTCGTGTTGGCGGCAGAGAATGAGCAGGACATGGAGGACTGGATTGCCACGCTGACCAGGATCCTGCAGATCAGTCCTCACGAAGTCCCTGCTCTGGACCGCAAGAGTCTGGACCTGACTGACCACCGACAAGGTGAGGGAGAACCAGGGAGTTTAGATGTGACTGTTAAGTACTTGTTTTAAAGCCAAAGTCTAAGATGGACTGCTCTGGGCTGAGCTGGAGTGTCCTGGTTTCCGTAGAGCTGATGGGGTTTGTTTCCTCTGCAGACCTGTTGGAGCTGTCGTTGAGTACTGGCTGTGTGCAGGAGGATGGAGAAACAACAGAGAGTGGCATCAACCCAGAGCTGGCTAAGGTCTGTGGAGGTGGCACAGCAGAACTGGACCTTTTCATCCATTAGTGAACAAATCAGAGCCTTCCTGTTTTCACTGATTCTTCCTTAAATGTTTGAGATGTTCCCTGTGTCTTTGACCTCCTCTCAGTTCATCTCAGAGACAGATGAAGGAATTCGCTCAGCTCGAAGAGAAGAACGTCTGAACCTGTTCTCCTTAGACCCCGACACTCCTGTGAGTCTGATGACTGCAATACTTTAACCATTAACTTTTTTTTTAACTTTCTTGCACATAAAATTGATTTGATCTGCGGTTTTCTGCAAATGCAGGTCCTAGGGAATCCACATCATCATCACTCCTCTGAAAATTCACCCGTGCGTCCATTTGAGGAGAAACTAGGCAGAAGGTTCATGGTCTACTGCAGGTCTTTGAATTTCCTGCTGCAAAGCTGCATCAACGAGAACGAGCTTGGACCAGTGACCAATGTGAGTTCTGAAAGTGTTCTTCTCTGACATTACAGGGGCAGAAAGGAGTGAGCTGAGAAGTTCATCCAACTGACACATTATTGACAGATTGTTTGAATGTTCTTCTCCAGATCGAGCCCTTCTTTATTTCACTCGCTCTATTCGACATCCGAGAAGGAAGGAAGGTTTCCGCAGATTTTCACGTGGACCTGAACCACCCTGATGTTCGGCAGATGTTAGGAAGCTGTGATCCAACATGTGGAAATGAGAATGGTCTGGAGTCTACTGCTGGAGACTGTCTCAATCTCAGTGCAGACCTTCAAAACTGGCTTTGTTTTCCAAAACAGGTCCTGGTCCTTCAGTGTTCTCACCCTGTGTTGTAATTGTAATGTGAGGAGTGTGCAGGTCAAGTATACGGATGAAGTCGAGTAGTGGTAGCAGTGATTGTTTTTAGGTGTGTTGTCAGAGTGCCAGATGGGTTTAAGGAAGTAGTGAGGGGGCAGATGATGGTGGCCACTGAACAGAACGACTGAAAGAAGAAGAGGAATGATAATAATCGAACTCCTTCTCTCACAGGCAATATTCTCGGTCACCAACCCACACCCTGAGATTCTGATGGTGGCCAGAGTTGAGAAAGTGCTGATGGGAAATATCACCAGTGGGGCAGAGCCTTACATCAAGAACACGGACTCCAGTAAAGTACGGAAAAATACTTAAAAATGACACTAGGATGAACGATTCGACCGGTTTAGCCATGAGTCCTGATCAGGTCCCATTGTAGCCCAGATGTTCTCTGCTGTTTAATCTGTTTTGATGTCGTTGCATCTCATTTGTTTGCATCTCAAACAGACTCTTCAGAAGAATGTACGGTCCAACAAACAGTTTTGCAGTAAACTAGGAAAGTACCGGATGCCTTTTGCCTGGTCCGTCAGGTTAGTTCTAGATCTGGAGACAACCAGGAGACAACCGGAGTCAACACTGCAACACTCCAATCTTTTATTACTTGTTCCTTATGTTTTATTCATGTTTCCAGGCTGGTGTTCAAGGACAACAATGGGACTCTGGACCGCGAGTCCCGATTCTCTCCTTTATTCAAACAAGAAAGCAACAAGATCTCCACAGAAGACCTGATGAAGCTGGTCACAGAGTACAGGAGGTACTTTTTCACTGGAATATTTAGTTCATATTATAAAATAAACAATGAACATATCAATATTTAAAGAGGACGTTGGTCTGTCAGCTAAAATCACGTTTATTATATTTATATTATATTGTCTTTGATCAGGGCTGAGAAGATCAGCAAACTGCAGACCATTCCTGGCAGTCTGGACATTACGCTGGACTATGTCCCACTGGAACATCCCAGTACGTTTGTGTTCTTTGCTTAGGTTTTCTCTTCATGTGAGTGACCATGTTTTTGTTCTGTCAGCTGCTGTAACAGTCTTTCCTCTTGGCTCCTCCAGACTGTGTCACATCCTCCTATGTTTTGCTGAAACCCTTTGAGGAACTGGACAAACACCCACCAACCGTAGAGGTGGAGGAATTTGTGCACGACACCATCAGGTTCTCGCACCCACACCGGGTCTACAGGAACCACATCTATGTTTACCCCAAACACCTGAAATATGACGGTCAGAAAAGCTTTGCTAAGGTAAACAAACTTGAACTTCTCAGACCTCAATCTAAGACCTGGTTCTTAGATTTAGATGCACCAGCATAAGTCTACCTGCCTCCCTGAGATCAGTCCTCTGGTCCACAGGCTCGGAACCTGGCTGTCTACGTTGAGTTTCGCAGCTCAGATGAAGAAGGAGCCAAACCTCTGAAGGTAGAACGTACTGTAGAAACAGAAATGTTATATTTAAGTGCAAGAACTTACAAACAGAAGACTTCTCCTGCTTTTTTAGTGCATCTATGGGAAATCAGGAGGTCCAGTCTTCACCACAACAGCCTGCTCTACAGTCCTCTATCACTCACAGAACCCTGACTTCTATGATGAGGTGAGGATTTTTACTAAGAACCAGAACCTTGAACTCCGGACCTAGGACCTTCTCCATCAGGCTGGGCTAACCATCTCAATCTTGTCTGTTTTCCTCAGGTGAAGATTGAACTTCCTACTGAGCTCCACCAGAAGCATCATTTGTTCTTCTCCTTCTACCACGTCACCTGTGACATCAATGCTAAGACCAACTCTAAGAGGAAGGAGGCTCTGGAGACTCCAGGTGAGTTGGGTTCTGCACTAGGAAGACGGGCCTGTCATTCTGGGCTTCATTCTTCTCTCTGTTTTTTAGTTGGTTTTTCTTGGCTCCCCCTCCTGAAAGATGAACGTCTGTGGTCCCAGGAGGTCAACATCCCTGTTTCATCTAACCTTCCTCCAGGATACTTGACCATGAAGGAGTCCAACAAGGTGACACATCAAAGATATAATGGTGCTGAAATGGACCGGAACTGTTTGGTTCATTTTAATGAGAATACACATTTTCTCTCTCTCTTTTTCCCCCTTCAGATCGGAGCAGACATGAAATGGGTGGATGGAGGAAAAACTATTTTCAAAGTTTCCACTAATGTTGTCTCTACAGTTTATACTCAGGTACTGTTATACCATTCACTCAAATACTGTACTGATACTTTTATGAGACCAGGAGAGATCACAGAGTCCAAACTAGTCCAGTATCACAGCAGTTCTTAGTCCTGGTTTTTATGGCCTTCTGTGTTTGATCCAGGATCCTCATCTAAACCGGTTCTTCCATCAGTGTCAGAAGAGAGAAATGGACCTTTCAGCGCCCCCTACCTCCAACTTTATGACATGCTTAAAGGTAAAACGATCACTCAGAACTTCACTGTATGTGACATTATGGGATGTGATGAGTTGAATTACTGTCTATTCTCTGCAGTACAATGGAATAAAGTTCAGTTTTCTTCCTGTCTCCTAATCCAGGGATTATTGAGTATGGACAGAATTCCAGTCATCATTCGATTTTTGCCTGTTCTGTTAAATCAGCTTTTCAAGGTTCTGACAGTGAATGATAGTGATGACGTCACCACTGCTACCACCAGGTATGGAGTGGAACTGCAGCCTGGCCTGTAAAACATATTCTTTGACATTTCTTCAAAAATAAATTGATGTTGTGACAAAATGTTTTTTTCTTCAGAGTGCTGGTTCACATAGTTTCAAAGCTTCATGAAGAACATCTGGATCATTATCTTCATTCCTACATCAAGGTCTGATTTTCTAATTGTTCCTATCTAAAAGTTAGCCATTTCACTGCTCGGTTTAGCTATTGCTAGGCTACCTTTAGCTTGTTCCTTTTATTCCTTCCCTTTTTAAGATGATAATCTTGACTCAGATTTTCTAAAAACCCCTGCCCTTCTGTCTATTTGCAGTACGTGTTTAAATCCGAGGCTCACGGTTTCAGGACAGTCCATGAAGAACTGGCCAAAGGCATGACGTTTGACCTGAAGAGTAATGAGCACACAGCGGTCAAGAATGTCCTCCAGGTTGGTCCAGTTATGTACTTCAGACCAGCTCTTTCAATAGATTACATCCTGTAGGTGAACTCTGACCTGGAACCCTGATCTGTTTTTTTGGTTGCAGTTCTCCTGGTTCTTCTTTCAGCTGATCGTTAAGTCCATGGCTCAACATCTGCTGGACGACAACAAGCTAAAAGTAAAATCTAAGTTTTTCCTTTTTTTGGTCTATTTTTAATTAAGACATTGTGAAATCAGTTCTCAGTGATGATCACAAGATCAAATATGGTTCAGGTATGACCACTGCTGCAAAAAGACATTTTGTATGGAGACAGGATCACTGAGAACCATCATTAGTAGCAGATCCAAACCACGTCTTAGGTTCTCTCTTGTTCTGCTCAATAGCTTCCTCGTCCGCAGCGTTTTCCAGCATCCTACCAGAACAGGATAGAAGTCCTGGTGGAGACGGTTTCAGAACACATTTTCTGGAAAAACAAGGAGCTGCCAGAGGAGTCGCGCAGTGCCAACCTCGCTGTGGCTGCTTTTGTGAAGGTAGGAAACAGTTTTAGGTTAGACCTAGGACCACAGAGCCAATACCTGAACCAGCTGAGATCCACGTCAACGAGGGTGATGTCAGTGGACGTCAGTGAACATCAGTGGACATCACGAAGTCACTCTGTGCGTTTTCTCCACAGCGCTGCTTCACCCTGATGGATCGAGGCTTCACCTTCAAACTGATCAGTAACTACATCAACATGATCACAGCTACTGACAGCAAGGTAAAAAAAAAGAAGTGACTTTCTTTGCTTTGAGAATCACCTGAAAGGCTGAATGAACCCTGGTTTTATTGGTGGGAGACATAAACAACAAAAACTGTTGTAGTGTGCCCATGCCTGCTCCAGGCTGTGATGTCATCAGTTGGTTCTTCTGTGATCAACAGGTCCTGTGTGAGCTGAAGTTTGAATTTCTGAGAGAGGTTTGTAACCACGAACATTACATTCCTCTGAGTCTGCCGATACCTTCAGCCAGAATCACAGGTGTGAGAGGAACCCTCCAGTCACCCCCTCATTCACTCATTCACTCATCACTTATTAACTTGTCTTGTCTCTATGTCTTTTTTTCCATCTCAGATCATTTGTCTCCAGAGACATGCAGCGTTCATGGTAAATCACTTGTCCACTGTGTCCTCTGTCCTGTTCACTGTCCTCCATTCATCTGACCTTTCACAAAAACACACCAAAAGATTTGTGATTCATTCTCCGTCGTCTTCTTCAACTTTTCCTCCTCCTCAGGGTCAGTTCCAGAGTACAACCTGACTGGAGAGTTCTGTCGGAAACACTTTCTTACCGGACTACTGCTGCGGGAGCTGGGTCTGGCTCTGCAGGATGAGCAGGAGCTGCGACACCTGGCTCTGTCCACACTGAAAACACTGATGGCCAAACACTCACTGGACTCACGCTACGCCACCAAGGTGACCAGGACTTTAACAGACCCTGACCCAGGATCTGAATCACAAACAGTCTTCAGAATATTCTATTATTGAGGTTTTCTGTTGTATTGGTTTTTCCAGGAGAAGCAGGCAAGAATCTCATCTCTGTACCTGCCGCTGTATGGGTTCATTCTGGACAACATGCCCCGGTTCTTCCTCCGAGACTGTTTTCCCATTTACTTCACCTGCAGTGACCAGGTAATAGACCAGTCCAGCTGCAGTGACCAGCTGCAGTGACCAGCTGACAGACCAGTCCAGCTGCAGTGATCCTAATTCTACCTCTTTTTGTCTTTGTGCCTAAAACGGGGTTAACTATGATTTCAGAAAACCTTTTATGTTACTATCATTTTAGTTTTTCTCAAACAGCAACCCCTTTCAAAATGTTCCTAGTTTTGAGTCTTTGTGGGCGTTCTTTTGGGTTAGGGCTCCAGAGATGACGTCAGTGTTGGAGGGGGCATGGCTTCTGTCAGTCGTCATGGAAACTCGGTGGATGTGTCTTTCTCCAGAGAAGTCCTGAACTCTATCACAGGTGATGTAGTGGTTTTTTTTTTCACATTTTTTAAATGTTTTTCTGTGAATCAAAACATGAATTTGGCTCTGCCTCCTGTCCAACCCGTTCAGCTTTTTCATCCTTGGCGATTCCTGGAGGAAACCTGACAGACTCTCGTGGGTCTGTAATCAGCATGGACTCCAACCCGAGCAACAGCGACCGGAACAGTGAGAAGATGGAGCCTTGTGAGAAGGTCAGTGATTTGCAAATCACATTTGCAAGCAAGGTCAACATTTTCAAGTGAACCATATTTTTAGTCCACTTGTGTAATAAAGCTGTTGGCCAGTTTCAGAGAGGACAACATCACCAACATATTACAACAAAGAATAAAGTCAAAAGAGCCAAATATGGACAAATAATATTTTTCTATTATGGACACGATGTTAAAAAATACAAATTGGTTGAAATAGCTAAGAAGTGTTACCAGCGACAAGTAGCTAAATGTTAGCCAAATGTCTTAACAAACCGAGCTCTGGCAAAAGTAGAGCAAAAAGCTCAGGTTGATTGAAATGGTGACAACTATAATGAGACAAACCACTTTGTTATTTCTTTTCACTGAAATCACTACAAACGCCGTGTTTTCCTTCTTTTCTCTTTTGTCTCAGTTTGCTCGTCCTCAGTCTCTGATTGGCTGTGGCTCTCGTTGTGATAAGTTGGACCAGGCAGAGACTCGCAGTCTGCTCATCTGTTTCCTGCACATCATGAAAACTATCTCTGAGGGTCAGGACCCGCAACACAGCAGTCACAACAACAGTGTGCAGCAGTGGCAACCACAGATCCTGTGTGATAGTGCGCCCTCTTGTGTTTTATTGCGTGTGTGTATGTGTTTCAGATGTGCTGGTGTCGTATTGGTCTCGAGCCGTTCACCAGGAGATCTCAGACTTCTTCAGCATTCTTGAGTGAGTGTCTGTTTAATGTGTTTAATGTTGATACAGTTGATACTGTGTCCTCTGGGCTTAAATCACTCATATTTTCTCTGAACTCCTGAATGGTTAATTTGAGCCCCACAGTCGACACAACCTGTTAAAACTTAACATAAAATAATCAACTCTGACTTTGATGTTGTATCTGTTTTTTCCCATCAGGCTTTGTCTTCAGCACTTTAGGTTCTTAGGAAAACGGCACATCGCCAGGTAAGAGTCCTGGACCTCTGGAATAGTCCTGTACTGTGACTGCACCCGAGCACAGACACTAACAATAACACAGCAGAGAAACTGCACAAATATTCACTCACTGGACACTTCATTAGGTACACCTGTTCTGCTCATGAACATTTTGGGGTTGTTTTGCTAATTTACTTAGAAACATAACATGAACAGAAATATCTTAAGTTTTATCAGCATCAGAGGAAGATCATCACCAAGACAGTGAATGTTCAGTTCTGGTGATTTTGACAGAAAAGAATTTGAATCCAGATAAAGACCAGTACTCTGCAGGTCTGAACTAACCTCAGCTGTGCTCTCATTGGCTGCTGAACAGGAAGTTAGCAGCGGCACTAAAACTGGCTCAGACTACACCAACCAATGGCGCGTTGAAGGCATCTAACCCCTCCGGTCTCCACTCACAATGGTAACACCCACTGTGGTCGTGTCACAGCTGTGATGTCACACCGTAACTGTGCCTTCTGAAGAGACAATCTGGGTTAACTGACCTACCATGTTTGGTTAAATGAAAACCAGCAGGTTTATAAACATATAACCAGTGACTTACACTTGCATCAGTTGATGAAAGAAGACATTTAGCGTTAATTTACATCTCAGCTCACAGAGTCCTAAGAGAAATTTGTGATTTTAACTTTTTACACAGGAGCTGCTAGTCCAATCCTGCCTCCTGTGGTCAGTTTGTGTCCCTAAGTGAAATCTTGACAAAGGATTTTAAACTGGGTGACAGAAGCAAGTCTCTCTGTGGACAGTTGTGTGCTGTAGTACAATAACCTTCTATTAATTCAACTAATATAACGGTTCATATTTTAATCAGTCAGATGATTTTTTTTACCTTACAGAAGTTTTATATTTCTTTATTTTCATGTATTCTAGTTCATGTTTGATGGCTTTGGCTACCTAATCGTTCTCTGTCTGATCCCTGCAGGATGGCATCATCTGGAGGGGAGGGACATCGACAGGCTCGCTCTCAGACAGTCCCAATAATCAGGGGGAAGAACGCACTGAACAACCCTAAACTACTGCACATGATGGAGACGGGTCAGAACAAGCACACAAAAACACAGAGAACAGCTGATGTTCTGTTAAGACCACAGCAGAATAAAAATGTCTAAAACATTAGAATGTGATCAATGGAAGAAAACTGATGGTGAGGAACACAGAACAGATGAAGAACATATTTCAACACGATCCAGTCAGAGAGAAAACCAATTTTCTCAGAAGCGGATTCATAATAATTATAATAATATTATAATATTAATATTAAATAATAATAATAATATTTAGAAATATTTGTTTTCTGGGTTTTTTGTCTGAGTGCAGACGGAAGTATTCAGGACGGAGACTTGACTCTAAGTCCCACTGATGTGGAGGCCAGTCTGTCCACTGAAGTCTCCCTCACAGTGTTGGACACACTGGAGCTCTTCATCCTCCACCACAAGGTCAGATGTTGTTAGAGCTCTCTCTCTCTCTCTCTCTCTCTCTTTATATCTCTTTCTTGTCCTCTCTCTTTCTTGACCCTAGAACAGCTGAATATGTTCAAACACTGAAATATTAACTTTAACTAGAACTTGAATGTGGACTAAGACCAAATCAGTCAGTGTAATAGGCCCAGAAATAACCAATACCTAATCACAGCAACAACTAGAAGTTAACAGTTAGCTAAAACATAATGAAACAAATTGCTGTGATCTTAAATGTCATCAAATCTGAAAATTAGACCTTGTGTCTTTTTTGGTTTTTGTTTTTCATTAGAAACAGCTGCAGCAGGACGACGGACAGAACCTTCTGATGAAGAAAGTTCTGGACACCTACTTCCTGTTCTTTCAGATCAACCAGTCCACAGCCACACTGCGTCACGTTTTTGCTGCTCTAAGACTCTTTGTGCAAAAGGTCAGACAGAAAGATTTAGGAACATTCAGTCCAGACTTCAGGCCTCGGCCCTTTATTAGACACGTGGTGTTGTGTCTTCCTGTAGTTCCCCAGCACCTTCTTCCAGGGAAAAGCCGATCTCTGTGGACGTCTCTGCTACGAGATCCTCAAGTGCTGCAACCACCGCTCCAGTTCCACACAGACTGAAGCTGCTGCCCTGCTCTACGTCGTCATGAGGAAAAACTTTGAGTTTACAAAGGGAAAGTCCATCGTCCGCTCACATCTGCAGGTGAGCTCTAAATATTCAGACCTTCAGATCTGCCAACCTTCAGGTCCTAGGTCCTTGCGTCTTCAGGTCTTAGGTCCTCAGGTCCTCAGACCCACAGGTTCTTTTGTTCCTCCTCAGGTCATCAAGGCTGTGAGTCAGCTGATTGCAGATGCTGGAATCGGAGGATCCAGGTTTCAGCAGTCGCTGGCCATCATCAACAACTTTGCAAATGGAGACGCTCCACTGAAGGTACTCAAGGAATCACAGATTCACAATTGAGTTCTAACAAATCTATAAAGTTATACAGAAAGGGTTAGTTGAAGATGATGTCATTCAGCCCAGGTTTGGGTCAGATCATGAAGCTTTTCATCCAGTGACATCTGAAGATCCTTTGGTTTGTTTTTCTGCAGACCACAGCATTCCCTGCTGAGGTGAAGGACCTGACCAAGCGGATTAGGACGGTTCTGATGGCCACGGCTCAAATGAAGGAACACGAGAAGGATCCGGAGATGCTGGTGGACTTACAGTACAGTCTGGCTAACTCTTACGCCAGCACACCGGAGCTGCGGCGTACGTGGCTGGAGAGCATGGCCAAGGTCCACGTCCGCAACGGAGATCTTTCAGAGGTCTGAATGACGAGCCTTTTCCAGTAGAGGGCACTGTCGGACAGTAGTAACAACAACGTCTGTGTTTGTCAGCACATTTTTGACGTCTCTTTTTTTTACAACACGAAAAAATATTCATAAGCTTCAGCTGAAATATGACTTAGACCAAGTTTAACAAATAGCCAAATTTTAAGAAAAGAGATTAGTAAATAATTCATAGAGAGTGTGTGTGTGTGTGTTCAAACTCTGTGTTTTCTTTGTCCAGGCCGCAATGTGTTATATTCACATCTCTGCTCTGATCGCTGAGTCACTGACGAGAAGAGGTGAGTGCATGTGTGTGTGTTTGTGTGTGTGTGTGTTGGAGTGACATGTTTTTGTCTGTTCGTCTGTCACGTAAACCTGTATGAAACTACATCACCAGGATTGAGGGCAGTGTTTCAACCTCCTCCTCCTCCTCCTTTCCCTCCCCCTCCCTACTTCCTTTCCTCCCCCCTCCTCTCCAACAGGTTACTGGAGTGTGGACAAGTCCAGGATGTCCAGTGTGTCGTCTAAAGACAGCCCTGTCTTTAACTGTTGCTCCTCCTCTTTACTAACTTCCTCCCACGACCCAGACAGTGAGTGTGTGATCCATACAGTACGCGCAGGGTCAGAGGTCAACTCTCTGACTCACTCACTGATGTTTGTTTTGGTCCTAGTCTGATGGTCAGAACTGAGTCACTGCTCCTGTGACGCTGCTCCATCTTTAAAACCTTCAGTATGTAAAGATTTAACTGATCATGTGACTCTGTCTGACGCCTCAGCATCCTTCTCTATGGGCTGGGCTGCATTTGTGGGCATCAGCCCTAATGTGGAGGAGGAAGGTGCCATGAAGGAAGACACTGGGACACAGGACACACCCTACACTGAGGTGGGTGCAGTGACAGTCAGAACCAGAATATTTTCTCATCCACAGTTCCAGACTCTGAGTGTGTGTGTGTATGTGTGTGTGTGTGTTACAGGACACACTGGTGGAGCAGCTGGAGTTGTGTGTAGACTATCTATGGAAGTCTGAGCGACACGAGCTCATCGCTGACATTAACAAACCTGTCATCGCCGTCTTTGAGAAGAGGAGGGATTTTAAGGTAACCCACTTCCTGTGATGCCTGTGTGTGTGCCGTGTGTATTTTGTGTGTTCAACAATCTTTTCCATTATGAAAAATAAGTCCATAGAGGAAATCAGTCATTTAGCTCACAGAGACAGCACAGCTGCGGGTCCACTACTGCCTCATGTGGTCAGTTTGTGCCACTGAAGTAAATCTCAACAAAGATTTTTCAACACATTTGAACTGAGTGATGGAGCCACCACTGCTGTGTCTCAGTGAGCTAAAACCCCTCATATTCTTTGAGGTTTGGTGCATGGAGTGTCTGTGAACTGACAGTGTTGTGTGTCCACAGCGACTGTCAGAACTTTACTACGACATCCATCGTTCATATCTGAAGGTGACGGAGGTGGTCAACTCAGAGAAACGACTCTTTGGACGCTACTATCGAGTGGCCTTTTATGGACAGGTGAGGAAAAACTGTAGCAAACAACAGTTCTCCAAGATGACTGATCCACAGACACTGATCCACAGACACTGACCCACAGACAGTGATCCACAGACAGTGATCCTGTGACCTACAGTCAGTGATCTAACTTTATATCGCCATGTTTTATTACTGTGTACTACACATGCCGACACTCCACAGTCTGTCTCATATATTTAATGAACATATGTGACATATTTAGTCTTTCTGATCAGCCATGAAAGCACAAAGAAAATGTACAGGGTGAGGCAGGAAGAACCGTGCTGCACTGACAGGGGGCAGTGACGTGCAGTGAGGTTCACGACTGACAGTGCTCAGTCCCATAGGCTCAGTGAGTAACAGGTGCAATCTTTGCATGGTTCAAGTTTACTGTCCCATGAAACAGGAAGTGAATTTCATTCCCTGTCCCTTTAACCAACCAACACCAAGCTTCATGTTTGATCACAGTCTCAGGACTCAGGACTTCATAGTTGTCTTATTTAAACAGCGCCACAGTGAAAAGACTGGTTTCTTTAATTTCTTTGTTCTCTGTTCATCTTCTTCTTCTTTAATTTGGTTTAAAGATTAAGGTAAGTTTCACATTTTTCTTTATCCCTTTTCCCTCGAACTCTTACTTTATTTTTGACCTTACTTTGCGTCTTCTTTAAATTCCCACCATTTAAAAGAACATTTTGTCCAATTTTATTTCTCTAAACTAATTTTCCTCACTACACCAGGTCCAGGTGTGAACCAGGTTCTAATAACGTATTTGTTGATGCTGACCCTCATTAACCTTTGACACTTGACTATATTACTGCTTTGATTTCTGACCTCTGACATCACTGACCCGTGGTTGGTTTTTCTAACAAAACTCCAGTTGATCACTGGGGGGCAGCAACACATTTGAAATAATAGAAAGTGTTGGGCTGAGGCCGCATTAGCACCAGCATTAGCTTGTTAGCCACACTAGCCGATCAAAGACTGATAATAAAAGCAGCAGATTACTGCCACCTACTGGCTTTATTTTCCACTGGTGAACACCATCAAGTGGACGTCCTGATCTCTGACAACAGAAAGGTAAAAGAAGAAGAAAATCCAGAGAGATGGTAGAAACCTGCTCAAAGTACAGGAACAAATAGTTCCTGACTCAGAGAAAAAAACATTTCCAGTTCTGTAAAATCATGTTCACACAAAACCCTCTTGTCAGAGTGTGTGTATAAATACATTTGTGTGTTTGTGTGTATGTGTGCCCCAGGGTTTCTTTGAGGAAGAAGAAAGTAAAGAGTTCATATACAAAGAACCAAAGCTGACTGGTTTGTCAGAAATCTCCCAGCGTTTACTTAAACTCTACTCTGACAAGTTTGGAGCTGACAACGTCAAGATGATCCAGGACTCCAACAAGGTAAAGGACAGGGGGCGCTGTGTGTCCAACAAGGGGAAGAGGTTTAATTTTAGTTGGTAAATTTGGAGGTTATTTCAAATATTGCGAACATATATTTATTTCATTGCAGGGAATTCTTCCTAGGTCAAAGGTCAAAGTTTGACCTGGTTTGTATTTTTCTGCTGACTTTTACAATCCTAACAGGTAAATCCCAAAGACCTGGACCCAAAGTTCGCCTACATCCAGGTCACATATGTGGTTCCTTACTTTGATGACAAAGAGCAGCAGGAGAAAAGGACGGATTTTGAACGACACCACAACATCAGACGCTTTGTGTACGAGACGCCATTCACTTTGTCAGGAAAAAAACACGGAGACGTGGAAGAGCAGTGCAAGAGACGGACCATCCTGACAAGTGAGTACAGCCTTCATGGAACTGATTCCACCCAAATCCACAGGAACCTCCTGATTTACTTCCTCACATTGCTCTGCAGCTAATGCCAGCTTCCCGTACCTGAAGAAACGGATCCAGGTGGTGGAGCAGCAAAGCGCCGAGTTGAATCCAATCGAAGTGGCCATAGATGAAATGACCGGCAAAGTGTCAGAACTGACCCATCTGTGCAGCGTGGACGAGGTGGACATGATACGACTGCAGCTGAAGCTGCAGGGCAGCGTCAGCGTCAAGGTCAGGGTCCTCACTCCTCCTCTGACATAGTCCCATATGTCACTGATCATGTGACCTTCTCCAACTCTTCTGCAGGTGAATGCTGGACCCATGGCTTACGCCCGGGCGTTTTTAGAAGAAAAAAATGCAAAAAAGTATCCAGACAACCAGGTGAAGCTGCTGAAGGAGATCTTCAGGTAAGACTGACACGCTGATCAGTGATTGGATGAAACTATCAATCACTTTAGACCAGGTCCAGAACCTGTAAAAATGCTGTAGAGGTGGAGACCCCTACTGTACAAACTGTATAAAAAAAGTTTTTTATGTGAACTGGGCGTGGTACCATGTACAAACCATGTACTGTATATACCAGTCTGATATTTTACACCCAGTTCTAGATATTTACAATATGGCCCGTCTTTGGACCCCGCAGAAAGTTCTCTTAGCAACACCTTAATATGATCGGTTCTTGGTTCCTGCAGACAGTTCGCAGAGGCCTGTGGTCGAGCTCTGAACGTGAACGAACGTCTGATCAAAGAGGATCAGCTGGAGTACCAGGAGGAGATGAAACTGCACTACAGAGATCTGCTGACTGAACTGTCAGCCATCATGAAGGAACAGGTGACCAATCAGAGAGGAGAACTGTTATCAACTGACCAATCATAATCCAAGACTGTCTTAACTAATGTGCAGTAGTATGCTTTATTGTTGCTTTTGATTTTCTGTTGCAGATTTTGTACACGAAACCAGGACCAGACTGACTGACCTCAATCAAGGACCAGGACACGCCCACTGAGCAGTCATTGAACTAAACACCCAGTTACCTGACAGGAAGTCCAATTTCCCTTAGTTTGTTTTTTTTATTGGTAGGATTTATTGTATGTGATGTTAAAATGTAACTTGTGACGAATGTAAAAACAAACTAACCACGCCCACTGAACAGTCCGACCACGCCCACTGAGGTACAAAAGGTAAATATTTTTGATGCTAGATCTCGTCCATCAGTTGTTGTTTTTTTTTGTTTGTTTTTTTCTTTGACGTGAATGTGCGACCTGTGGTGAATGTAAAAAATTTAAATTGTCATGATCAGGGTTTCTTATTTGAAGGTGAGGTTTTCAGGCCAAAGGGCTGAACCTGATACCGACATCCTCATCATCATTCTTGCATTTTACCACACACACACACAGACACCTCCACACACACCTCCACGACTCTGCCCCCTATAAAACTGTGACATTCTAAACCCTGGGTGCTTTCATTTTTATTTTCCAGTAAAATTTTAACTTTTTTAGGAGAATTTTTCATGAACAAAAAACAGGTAAACATTTTTAAAAAGCTGTTTTTTAATGAACCAAGAAGAAGCCGAGCTGAGGGCTCTTCACTTCCTGTTTGGATGTGGGACACGTTCCTGTTACAGTTGTTAAAAAAACACAACTACAAGCTTTTGAAAAGAAACAGTTTTTAGTATTTTATGACTGACATTTCAATGTTAATGTTTTAGTTTCAACTGTAAATAATAATTATTGATATTTAAGTCTGAGATGTTTCTCTTTATAAATATTTACATGTAAAAAATAATAGTTTAGAATAAATAAAAGTAACAAAAAACTCAAGTTTTATGGAAACATTTGAAATAAAGTCTGGTTCATGTTCAAGTTTCGTATTTTCTTTTTTGTTTCACTCTCACATTTTCTCTTTTTAAATTTCCATGGTCCAAAAATAAAAAGTGTTTTTGGTTCTGTTTTGTCTTCTTCTTGTTTTTACTTTTGTTTAAAATCTGTTTGAAAAGGGTTTTGTGAATTGTCTCTCAACTTCAACACCGTGGTTCTATTTTGTCAACAGCAGCTGTTTGAACCAGAAGACCAGTGTCAGACCAGTACCAGACTAGTGTCAAACATGTTTCTGTAAAACCCATTAAACACTCAGTGTTGATGCCTCTGTGCCTGCACAAATTGATGCTAAATGTCCACTGCCTTTAGCTGCTCATGTTAGCAGAAGTTAGTTTACAGTACGGTACAGTACAGCTTAGTACAGTATGACTGAACATTATGAAGTCCAAGGTCTGTAGTTTGAATCTATTTCTTTTCAAGATGAAGAATCGGTTCCACAAACATCAGGGCTTCAAATGAAACTCCTACATCATTCTCCTGTTACAACTAAAACATCAGGTTCTTAGACCTTCAGACCTGGAGAAGTCCAAACCAGTGTAGATCACTGGTCTAAGTTTTTTCATCTAGATTTTTTTTTCTTTTAAAAAGATTTCCATCTGCTGCAGTGAAGCACCAACCAATCAGAGCCTGCCTCGTCCTCCAGCTCCTCCTCCTGGTCTGTCTCTGCAGCCCAGTTTCTGGAGCAGAGAGTGGAGGCTGATCAGGTTTCTGGACTACTGTAGGTTCAGGTTTCTCTGAGTCCTGCAGGTCACAATCTCCTCTTCACTCATTATCTTGTCTCTGTACCAAGTTTAAAAAGAATTGACATCATGTCCTCACGTGTCCTCACATGCCTGAAGGACTCGTCCAAAAATGTCACATTTTTGACCAAAATGATCAAGAACTAAGAAAAACCTGCTTTGAAACAAAATGATTCTTGTCTGTGATGAAGTGATCGTCACTGACCCACATTCATTGTCAATAATCGGTCTAGTCATTTTTTCATTCATTCATACATATGAATGAATTCAATTCTTCATTTAAAGAAAGACGGTTCAGGTCTTTTTCTTCTAAAGAACAAAAGAAAAGTAAAGCAAAAAAGTTTAATCAGAAGAGGTTCACATTTAAACATTTAGGGAATGGTTTGTTTGTTTTTTAAAAGTAATTTATATTCAATGAAGATTTGTTATACAGAAATAGCTACAATTAGAAATAAATCAAAAGCTAACAACAAAAAACCTCAGTGATCAATCTAAAGTTAGCCCAGTTAGCTAAAAGCTAACCAAAGAGATGAATTTAAGTTTCAACTTTAATCTTGTTTTAAATCCAACTCCTCCACTGTTTTTTCTTTTTTTTTTTTAATTTCAAACTCAGTGTAAAGAAGAGAACTGGAGTTCTTCTCATCTCTCTTCTTCATGTTTTTTTTCTTCATCATTTCTCTTTCAGAAAGGATTCAGTCTCTCTCTGTTTCCCCCTCTCACCGTCCGACCACATGAACAAAATGAATCAGTCACTCCAGGATCGTCTGCTCTTCTCTGCTCTCTCGTCTCTTTCACCTTATTTCCACGTCCGTCATCTTTGGAAACAGATTCTTCTCGTCATTCCTCCGTCTCCTGCCACCTGAGCCCATCTCTCTGTTTAAGGCCACGTTTCATTTCCGACCCCTGCTTTGGTTTTGCTGAAACTGGACTCTGGTCTTGATGAATAAAACATGCTGAGAACGCTGCAGGTGCAGAGCGAGTCTTTCAGCTGCTGAAGTGTTGAAAGGCGTCAGAACCAGACATAGAACTGGATCTGGACTGAGATTGACAGACTGGCTCAGCAGGAGGCGCAGACATGTTAAGACCTCAGCAGCAGCAGCTCCTGCTGCGTCCAGACCAGCCGCCGGTCTTTGGAAAGCCGTGGTTCTGGCAACGCAGCGGCAGCAGCATGGAGATCAGCCGTAGCCTGGCTCAGGTCATCGTGGAGATGCAGGAGGAGATCAAGAAGCTGGAGGCTGAGAACCAGCAGTTAAGAGGGAAACATGTTCAGCGAGGGTTTGGGCAGGCAGCGGGGCCACTGGTTCTTGAAGCTTCACCCTCCTCCTCCTCTTCCTCCTCCTCCTCGTCATCATCATCATCTGCTGTAGCAGCAGGACGTTGGGCACTGGACGAAAACCTGGCTGTCAACCTCAGGAGAAATGTGTCTGCACCGCTGCTGGAAGGACAGTTCAAAGGTCAGAGCTGCAGACAGTTGGCTGTGATTTCCCTGGACATTGTTGACATTGTCAAAAAGCTCAAACTTTGACTAGAACTTTGTTAAATAGTATGTTAAATATTCAACAGTGTGAGAATCATCATCGTCATAGTCTCCCACACCAAGGTCCATAGAGAAAATCAGTGGTTTTAGCTCACGGACTGGCCCACTAGTGGCGCTTTGGCCCAGAGGCAATGGCTCTGTCATTGGTGTGGAACCCCAGGATTCACCTCCTGGACAAGTTCGAATCTCAGTTAGGGCGGTTGGTACCTTCCAGTGGACTCACCACCTGCAGGAAGGTTTAGGTATGGTGCAATGTGATTTGTGTGGAGACTGCTGCCCCCGCAACCCTGTAACGGATAAGCGGATGAAAATGAATAAATGAATGAATGACTGGCCCACTAGTGCCTCCTGTGGTCATGTAGTCTCCCAGCTGTATATCTGAACAGAGGATTTTAAACAGTTTTGTCACAGTGTAACACATTTGAACTGAGATTGTACTCCCTTGTTGTGTTGGTCGGCATCTGCCCCACTTTTTTGATCTCTGACCTCTGTACAGGCTGAATAGCCTGTTGGCTTTGGGATAAATTGTGGAGGTCAAAGGTTAAAAGATATCATGTGTTGACTGGTTGTGTACATTTATCAGACAGGACTGTAGTAGAGAGGGGAAGAGAGGGAAATGTTCTAAAGTACTTTGCTGTTGTTTCCTTTGTTTTTATAGGAAAAGATGTGATGACAGTGCGACGTTACTCTGTCAGCTCACAGCTTTCAGACATGACGCTGACAGAGAGGCAGACAGACAGAATGAGAAGCACTGATTCTGGATGGAGACGCCTGAAGGAAGAATTTCAGCTGAGGAACCATGGCTTCAGTGGTGCAGCCAGAGGAGGCGCTGTTGGAGCAGGCATGGTCAGAGGAGACATCGTTGAAGTGAACAGTAGACACTTGCTGCAGGAGTATGTCCATAAAAACAGGTACAGAGCCAGGAATAGTCTGCTGACAGCTGCTGCTGCTGCTGTGATGTGGAATAGTGTGACCTGTAGTTCTTTTCAAACCACTGACATCATCACTTTACACCTGTTACATGCTCCGTTGACCAATCAGAGCAGTTCATCAACCTGCTAATAATTGTGACAGTTTGATTCTGGACAGTTCTAAGCCTGGTGCAGCTCATTTTCATCAGGCTGAGTGTGGAGGGCATTGAACCCACAACCTTCTGGGTGGAAGACAAACACTTACTCCCCCTGCTGTAAGAGTTTTCCAAACTTTCACATGAACATACAGACCAGCCAGGTCACGGGTCAAAGTGTCTGATTTACGTGTTTTCTCCTCTGTGCCGATGTTGAACAGTTTCATCCTCTGCTGAACTTCTCTTCTCTTTTTCTTCTTTGAGGTCCAAAGTAAAAACGGTGACGTTCCTTCTGCCTGTTGATGATATTTACACCAACCGTCCAGTTCTGAGAAAACACCAGGAGGAACCGACGCTCTCAGAGCTGGACTCCGTAACAGAGACTGACTCCTAGAGGAGAGTTCTTCTTGAAAAGTTCTGTTTCAGATGAAGGGAGAGTTTGTGGTCAGAACCAGTAACACCTTGACCTGGGTCAGACTTTGTAGCTGCTGATCACTTGTTTCATCACACCTGACCTGGACCCAAGACCAGACTTTGGTTTCAGACACACACATGACAATTAGAACAACTCCAGCAAAATCTTCTTACATCGATCCCAGTCAGAACCAGGTGAATCCTCTCCTTCTGGGTCAGGGTCATCCCAGCCTGAACTAAAAAAACAAAACAAAAGAAGCCTGACTCTGCTTTCAGTTCTGACCCACACTGCCCTCTGCTGCCCGGTCAATCACGTGTTCAAACTCAAACCCAAACCTGACACTGTTTTCGTTCAGACGTTTGACCCAGATACGCCTCCAGGTGGCAGCGTTTGCTTTCAGTCCTCCATTATTCATTTCTTTTTTCACGTGATAAACTCAAGGTTTGATTATGTTTTCATTTTAATCACCCGTTTATTAATTTAAAAACATGACCTACGTTTCTACACCAAATATATTTTTATTTGTATATCTGCCTTTTATTTTCAGGAGAAAATAAAACAATAGTTAACAATAATTGTAATTTGATATGTAGGAATGTGAATGTGTTTGTATGTATGTGTGATCTGTTTATAAGTCAACAGCAAATATGTAATGCTTATCCAAAGGTACCACCCACCACACACACTGCTCTAGTCTATTCTAAACTGTCTCTTTATACAACAAACTTAAAACGTACAATTGATGAATAAAAAAATTAACTTGTATAAGATACACACGGGACTTAAGGTGTAATGGCAGAGTCATTTGCTATAATAACAAAGTTATAAAAACATTAGCTGTACCGTTACAGACTGAAGAGAGTGTAGACACAAAGAGTTGTTTGTTTGTTTGTTTTTTGCTTTGTTTACCCGACACATAAAGCTGAGTCAGTGAACGTAGGTGCATTTTCACAGGAATGTGGCAAAATAGCGTCACCAGTCGGCAAAAAAATATATCACAAGTGTTCTTCCTCGTCTTTTTCTTCTTCAACTATTACCCAGCAGCCTGAGCGGTGGGGGCGCGTCTGTGACGTTAAGGGGGCAGCGGCATCAAAGATGGCGGCGGTCTGGTCGATGAGCCGCAGGTTCATAATTAGAAGTTATAATCCCTTTGTCAATAGTGTCAGAAGAGGATTTTCTTCGTGTATCGATCGTGAGTTAAGATGATGATTCACATGAGCTGAAATCAGAAAAAAAATTTTTTTGGAACGACATAAAATAAGTTTTCAGTGTTTGACATTTCTGATCCAATGTTGACTCACTAACATTTATTATTCTTTCTGCTGTTTGATGTTGTTAACTTTGGTCTTAGTATTTGATATACCAACATTAGGCACACTTTTAATTATGTTGGTTGTCTTTGACTTTCAGTTTTCTTCAGTCTTTTTTGGACCGATTGAAGCAGTGCTGTGTGTTTGTCTAATGCATGGAGCTATGTGTCAGACCACAGTTTATTTTCATTGACGAATGTTTGAGGTGCATCATCGTTAAAGTTCTGTCCTCCTTCAGCTTCTGACGGACTTACAGATGAACAGAAAGAGTTCCAGAAAGTGGCTTTTGACTTTGCAGCCAATGAAATGGCTCCTCACATGGCAGAATGGGACCAGAAGGTAAAATAATCTGGGATTTTTTTTCTGCTCAAGCCTCAGTATTAATATAAAAGTACAAAAGAATTTGTGTTTGTTTCATTTCAGGAAATCTTTCCAGTGAAGACAATGCAGAAAGCAGCCCAACTGGGTTTTGGAGGGATCTATGTCAGTCCAGATGTGGGCGGGTCGGGTCTTTCTCGTCTCGATACGTCAGTCATCTTTGAGGCCTTGTCCACCGGCTGCGTCAGCACCACAGCCTACATCAGTATCCACAAGTACACTGCCTTCCATCCATGATAACTGTGCGTTGAAACAGACGGTCTGTGAGTCTGACTTTGATTTGCTGCCACGTTCTTTTCTTACAGCATGTGTGCCTGGATGATCGACACATTTGGAAGCGACGAGCAGCGACACAAGTTCTGTCCTGATCTCTGCACCATGGAGAAGTTTGCTTCCTACTGTCTCACTGAACCAGGTCCAGACTTAATTCTTGTTGAAGCTAGTCCTGGTCCTAGGTTCAGGGCTGAGATTTTGGAAATTCAACGTTTTGCTCTGTTCATGTAGTTTCAACTCTTATGATTTGCATGAACATGTCTTGGAACACTCTAGAATTTAAAGCACTAGAACTGTTTAAATGAACTGTTTCCATACATTGATTCTCAGGTTCACAAAGTTGTCAGTTATTTTGAGTCTGTTTCTGTTCTTTGTCCTCATCTGTCCTGACCTCAGGCAGTGGAAGCGATGCTGCTTCTCTGTTGACCTCAGCACAGCAGAGTGGGGACCATTATGTCCTGAACGGTTCTAAGGTGTGTTCATCAGACACAAAACTCTGCCATCGTGGGATTTTGACTTCACATAGTTCTTCTGATGTTTCTGCAGGCCTTCATCAGCGGTGGAGGAGAGGCAGACGTTTACGTGGTCATGTGCAGAACAGGAGGACAGGGACCTAAAGGCATTTCCTGTCTGCTGGTGGAGAAGGGAAGTCCAGGACTCAGCTTTGGAAAAAAAGAAAAGAAGGTAGAGCTTTAAAACAAAGTTTTCATACGGTGCCTTTCTGAGGCAGTAGAACATCACGGTCACTGAGTCAGGTGTTCTCTCTGATGTGTTCTTCAGGTGGGCTGGAATTCTCAGCCCACCAGAGCCGTGATCTTTGAGGACTGTGTAGTTCCTGTGGAGAATCTACTGGGTGAAGAAGGACAAGGATTTAGCATCGCCATGAAAGGTCTTAATGGGGGCCGGATCAACATTGGTGAGGATGAGGAAGGATTTTCCCTAGATCAGGAATATAGTCTGGATTTACAGAGCTTTTCTAGAACTGGTCACCAGTCAAAGATCTGACATCTCCAACAGTCAAGTGGAGGTTGGACTCTGCACTGATCACTGAAACAGTTCTCCACTGCATCTCTGTGCATTGATAAGGTCACATGATGTGTGTCCACAGCCTCCTGCTCTTTAGGTGCTGCTCACGCCTGTGTTCACCTGGCCCGCGATCATCTGCTGGTACGGAAGCAGTTTGGAGAAAGTCTCTCTAACAACCAGGTCAGTTTCAATGAGGTTGGTCCCGTGACTCCAGGGAAAGTACCTAAGAACTGTTCTGTTTGTCCCTGTTTTTTTTTAAGTTCCTTCAGTTCAAACTCGCTGAGATGGCAACTCGTTTGATGGCGTCACGCCTCCTAGTGCGGGAGGCTGCAACTGCACTGCAGCAGAACCGAGCCAACGCCGTGTCTCTGTGTTCCATGGCCAAACTGTTTGCAACCGACGAGTGTTTTAACGTCAGTCTGAAAAGTTGCTCTTGTTGCTGCTGTTCTTTGCAGATGAACTAGGTTCACAGTTCTCTGACTGTTGCCACTGTTTTTGGTTCCAGATCTGTAACCAGGCTCTGCAGATGCACGGTGGCTATGGTTATCTGAAAGACTATGCTGTGCAGCAGTTTGTTCGTGACATCAGAGTCCATCAGATCCTGGAAGGTAAGTGCTGGAAATCCTTGAAAGTAAATGTTTTCCAATTTTAGAAGTTGAAATATATTTGAGAATATCAGACTGTGATGATGAGCAGGAGGAGGCTGGTGGTGGTGGTGGTGGTGGTGATGATGATGATCACACCCACATTCACACTAATGTCTTTTGCAGTGAATTATAAGCCCAAGCTATACAATTCTGGACAGTGGTCCACCACCCAAACGTTTTACATGTGGTTTGTTATGTAACCACATCACAGTTCACTTCAAACAATTTAGAGTGTTGAACTGGTGACTTTCTTCCAGACCAAGGTACTATCCTGCTATCCTCCACTCCATTCTACCATTGTCACATTAGAGCAAAAATACTTATTAACTTCAGAACTGAGTCCTGGAAGGTCCTAGAGATTGGTCTGAAAGAGGCCAAAGATCTGGGTCCTAACAATAATGACCATAATAAAAGTAATAAACAAAGAAAGAAAAGAAAAAGAAAAGGGACCTTCAAAGATTCAGAACTGGACCTGGAAAATTTCAGAACATGATTCTAACACTGAATGTTTGAAAGGTACCACAGACGTCTTTGAGTGTAAACTGACGTTTTCACTTCTTTTTGTTTGTTTGTTGAAGGAACAAATGAGGTGATGAGGATGATAATCTCCAGAAATCTTCTTACTGAGTCCTGATCTGAGGTCATCACTACTTCTTTGAGCTGTTCCTTGTGAACTGTGTGGAACTGATGATTGTGTGTTGTCCTTTTGTTTGCTGAAAGTTCTCACGTTTCTGATGTTGTTTCTTATGACCATTGTGAGTCAGTAACTTCAGTCACAATTACATAGCTATAGGTCAATTAGTGCAACCGACAGGTCAAACTGTCAATGGACACTCCTCATGTACATATTTTTTTTAGGATTTGTATTATTTAGAAGAATTCTTTCATTTTGACCTGAAGATGTGGTTCTTTTCCATTTTCAAATGAAGCTGCTGTGTTTTATTTCACTCCTAATGTAAAAAAAAAAAAAAAAAATTAAAGTTTGGAGAAAATAATTGATCCCATTCATGAAGATATTTTCTTTCAAACGTTGATACTGATTGATTGTTTTCATGTCTTAATGGGTGGAAACACAATTTCAATATGAGATATCACAATGATGTTTACATGATTTTTATTTGTACATAACCAATGCCAACCATTTATTTATAATTATTAGTATAAATAACAATGGTATCCCCAGGTCTACAGTGTGTGTGTGTGACCAGGGCTGGGGGCTCTCTGAAACATAGTTTTCAACTATAAACAGTTGCTAAACAGAGGAGTGCTTTTTGGGGTAATTTGACTTGACATTGTATGATGTATAAATGAAATATATTGTAAAATACATAACTTAATATTTGAATTATAATACAGTTTAACACGCATCATGTATAGTTGGTTTTATTCGAGCTTCGTTGCGGTACGTGAATGCGTCACAGCATTCACCATAACACCAGAGACAGGAAGTAGCTGCTTGCACAGCGCTGGTACAGAATAATGGTGTTTCATGCAGCCAAGCTAAATATCTTACCGTGAACATGGCAGCCCACCTAAAAAGGCGTGTTTATGAGGAGTTTTCTAAAGTTGTTCAGGTAGACTCGTGTTTTTATCTGATCACTGCTGCATGTGTTCTCTGTGGAGTTTAACTGAAGGTGTCCGCGATGTTTTACAAACTGATACTTTGTCATCAGTTTGCTGCTGCTAAATGCTAACTGACACAAGGCGCTAAGACAGATTCTTACCGTTTATTTAATTTTGTCTTTAACACAGCTTATCTATTCATGTTTATTAAAGTATGTTTGTTGGTTTGGTTGAGTTCTACTCTGCTAACATTTTAAACCAAAAATAAACAAACAAATAAATACACGAACTCTTTAGTAATTGTCAGATATTTACCCTTTTCATTTAGTCTACAGCTACAGTTAGAGGTTTTGTGTATAATAAAATGTTCTCCTATTTGTATTTAGGAGGACATTTTATTATGCGCAAAACCTCTAACGGTGTGAACAGCCCCTTTCAACTGAAATAGAAAATGTTACCAAATATTATGCCAATCAAATCTTTATAATTAGTTAAATAAGTTCATTCAATTGAACTTACTTTATAAAAAAAACAATTTAAACTACATAACGTACAAATAAATTATATATTTTTGCTGACAGGTAACACAGACTGATTGGTGATTTCAGTTTTAATGCACATGAATGCCAAAGAATAATCATTGAAGCTTTTTGTCCAACACATTTTTGTTTCAAGGTTTTAAATTCTAGACATTCCCTTCTTACAGATCCATCATGAAGAAGCTCCAGCCAAGAAGCTGCGGCTGTCCAAACCCAGCAAATCTGCAGCTCTGCATATTGATCTCTGTAAAACTACCAACTCCACTGATGCGTTACAGTACCTGCTGCAGTTCGCACGCAAGCCTGTAGAGGCAGAGAGCGTGGAGGGTGTGGTTAGGATCCTGTTGGAGTATTACTATAAGGTGAATACATACAGAGAGCTATGGAATAAACTAAAGACTGATCCATAGAGATCTTTAATGTTTTTAATCCAAGTGTATTTCTGAGATGTAAGATATTTTTGCAATTATGATTGCATAATAATGATTGTGTTGATGATGGTATTCTTCTTCTTCTTTTAGGAGACAGACAACTCTGTGAGATTAAAGATCGCCTCTCTGCTGGGTCTTCTGTCAAAAACCCAGGGTTTCAGTCCTGATTGCATTGTGGACGATGCCATCAACACACTGGTCAATGAAAGTGAGATTAATCACAATTTATTTTGTTCACTTTCAGAATCTCTTCTCATCTGCATGAAAAATACTGGTGTTTGTTTGTAGCGTTATTCAGATTGTTTATGTAAATATTTTCTTATATTTTCATTGAAACTATTTTAAGGATTTTTGTAATGAAAATACAATTTCTTAAAGTCATGCCACCTATTCCAGTATCATCTAAACAATTGCATTTTCTTAAAGGATGTTTGTAGAGATCTTTAAGTTCTCTCTGTCTCTCTCTGGCTCTGCAGAGTCGCATCAGGTTCTCGCTCAGCTACTGGACACTCTGCTGGTCATTGGTTCACAACTTCCTGAGAGTCCTTCAGTCAGACAGATGCTAGTAGAGGTGGCCTGCAAGGTAACACACACACAGACACACTCACAAACACAAAGTTCTTCAGAAATCTGTAACTCTTGGTGTGTGGTTCTTCTTTAAAGCACTTGTCTGATTCCTACTTTGGGGTGAGGAACAAGTGCCTCCAGCTCCTTGGCTGTCTTGGTCTGGTGGACACTCCTCTCAACAAGGACAGTGATGGAGTAGGAACACTGAGGCACACAGGTGTGGAGACTATTTAAAGACCTAGAATGTAGGACACATTTGATGTGAGTTGACTGCAGCTGTGGTTTGGTGTGAGGTGGTGCTGTAAACCACTGGTCACTGAGAGAGCAGCAGAATGAAGAGGAGCAGGTTTAACACAAAGCTTTGCCTGTTCATAAACTACACCCTTGATTTCAGTTGTTGTTGTTGTTGTTGTTGTCCACCGACTTGTGACGTGACTTTTAATATTTTTCACTCTGGTTGATTTCCAGGAGCACAGAGAGATGTTCAGACCATCATCAGTGATTACTTTGGAGACCAGGACCCTAGAGTTCGTACTGCAGCCATTAAAGCCATGGTAGCACATTTGAATTCCTAAAACTAACAATGAAACTATCATTGCCTCAGTGGACAAAACACTGTCCATAATATAATATATAAACTTTTTTAAATATATTATTCTCTTTGTTCTGTTGTGTGCTATACATTTTTTAAATCAGCTGCAGCTCCATGAGAGAGGAATGAAGATCCAGCAGATCATATATGATCAGGTACCAGCTCCTATTGAATTATTTTTCACACATGTGCTAGAAAAGCCCAGAGAGTTTAGTCTGGAATCTTTAGTTTGAGTTCAACTGTGACAGGGTGAGTTCTGAAGTTAGACCCAGGGTTCAACATGTCCAACGATAAACAATTTGAGGTCACATGATCTTCATTTGGTCTGAGAAGTGTCTGAATGAAAACACTTGTTGTGTTTACACTACGGTAACATACAGTGGCATCATGGGAAATGTCATTTGTCTCAGTGTGAACCATCTCTGGTGCTTTGCTTTCCCATGTCCTCAGGCCTGCAGGCTGCTGTCAGATGACTATGAGCAAGTTCGTTCTGCAGCTGTTCAGATGGTTTGGGTGCTGAGTCAGCTGTATCCAGAAAGGTGGGAGGACACAGTTGTCTGTCGTCAGTGTGCTGCTACTGTTGTTTAGTTCTATTTAAAAAAAACAAAACATGCTGCGTTAAGTCTTTGCTCTGACCAGTTTCTTCCTCCAATCAGCATTGTACCTATTCCATCATCCAATGAGGAGATTCGACTGGTTGATGATGCATTTGGAAAGATCAGTCACATGGTCAGTGATGGTTCCTGGATGGTTCGGGTGCAGGCTGGAAAAACGCTGGTGAGGGAAGCGAAATAAAAATGGGAAAAAATGGAAACAAACAGGAGAAAACACTGCGTATGTTTGTGTCTTTCTCTGTGTGTGTGTGTCTGTGTGTGTGTGTGTGTGTGTGTGTGTGTGTACGGGTGTCAGGGTTCCATGCTGCAGGTCAGTCCTCACTTCCTGGAGCAGACTCTGGACAAGAAACTGATGTCTGATCTGAGAGTGAGTAAAGACTTGTCAGATAATAAATGTAATTGATTAAACTAATCCCACTGGATTACTCTAACAAACCATTTAATAATCTGCCTTTGTGTGGTCTGGTCCAGAGGAAGCGTACAGCCCATGAAAGAGCCAAGGAGCTGTTTGCTTCAGGAGAGTTTTCCTCAGGCAGGAAGTGGGCTGACGACGCTCCCAAAGAAAAATTGGACACGAACACGGTCAACCTCATCGCCTCGGGGGCCTGTGGGGCTTTTGTCCACGGCCTGGAGGATGAGATGTTTGGTATGGAAACCACACAGAAGGCACACATGGGGTTTAATAGAAAACACCAGGGGCATGGACCACATGCATGCAGGCTGACTTCTGGTGCGGTTCATCTGTTAGCGTTGACTGCGTTTTATGTGAAGCTTAATTCAATTCTAAATGCAGTTTAACAGATAGACAGAATGATGTCCACTGTACATCAATAGTTTTTAATATTTACCTCCCAAAGGCTTCTGTTTAAAGATTTAAATACTCAGCCATGACGTTTACCCTCCCCTTCTCTATATACAGCAGGTCAGTATCACAGTTGTCCAACTCCCTCCTGATTTTCAGAGGTCCGTATTGCAGCAGTGGACGCCCTGTGCCAGTTGGCCCGGTCCTCTCCAAGCTTTGCAGAAAAGTGTCTGGACTTCCTGGTGGACATGTTCAACGATGAGATTGAAGAAGTGAGGCTCCAGTCCATCCATGCCCTGAGAGAAATCTCCACACACATCACCCTGAGGGAGGACCAGCTGGACACGGTGCTGGCTGTGTTAGAGGTAAACACAAGGAACCAGGTTCCAGCACACGCCTCTCTGAAAGAACCACAGACCATTAAGTTAATCTTTGTGTCCAGGACTCGTCGCGAGACATCAGAGAAGCTCTCCATGAGCTGCTGTGTTTCACCAACGTCTCCACCAAAGAGTGTATCCAGCTGGCTCTGTTGGAACTGCTGAAGAACCTCAACAAGTATCCTACTGACCGCAACTCCGTCTGGAAGTAAGAGACTGTCTGTGTATAAACACTGACCTAAAAATGTAACTCTGGTGTTTCTCTGCAGATGATAGGACTGACTGACTGTCTCTGAGTCTGACTGTCTGTCTGCCTGTCTTTCTTACTGTCTGTGGTGCAATGTTATTTCCTTTTTCTGATTTCAGGTGTCTAAAGTTTCTGGGTTCTCGTCACCCGACACTTGTACTTCCCTTGGTTTCTGAGCTGCTCAGCACACACCCGTACTTTGACACTCCAGAGCCTGACATGGACGACCCGGCCTGTATCCTGCTGACAGATCAAGTCATTCATCCTTATACTGTTCCCAGTCTACCACTGAATCCTAACCACCCAGCATTAATATTAGCAACAACGACAATAATAATGAATAGTAATAATGATAATAACAATAATAATAGTAGTAATCAAAAATAAACTGTGTCTTTTTCCAGTATAATGTCCAGTGAATAACCAGAGAAAGACTTTAGAACCAACAACACACTCAGGGACAGAGTGTTACAGTGTTTCCTGAAGAGCCGAATTCCAGTTCAAACTGAAACCGGCTCTTGTAGAACGTTCTAGCACTGTTGTCTTCTGGTCTTTTGGAACCGTGTCTTGTTTTTTCCTGACTCTTGTCCTGCAGACATCGCGGTGCTGGTTCTGGTGTTCAACGCTGCTCCGTCATGTCCCACCATGCCAGCACTCTTCTCCGATCACACCTTCAGACACTACGCATACCTGAGGGACAGCCTGTCCCACCTCGTACCCCCGCTGAGAGTGAGACCTGTAGTGTTGTTGTTGTTGTTGTTGTTGATGATGCTGTGACTTTGCAGACTACAGTCAGAAACACTGTTGACACAGGGGTTGGTCTTCTCATGGGTTTCAGCTGCCAGGCAGGAAGCAGGTCTATGGTCTAGACTCTGTGGACTCGGGCTCTGGTCCAGGTTCTGTGGAGTCAGCTCAGGTCTTTCTTCAACAGAGTCTGAACAGAGTCAGCACCATTCAGAACCTGGAGGCTCCAGGATCCCAGGACCTGCTCAACTTTACTATAAGGTTTAGAGCCTTTTGATGAGATAACCTTCAGGTCTAGGTTTTATTAAAGAGTGTTTAATAAAAACACTGTAATAGAATGAGTTACAGGATTTGATCAAGAAAAGACAATTGTGTTGCTACTGACCTTAATGAACCTCTGCTCCATTAACTACATCCATCTGATCTGTGTAGTTTTTTTATGTGGCCTCAATACTGTAGCTGAGCTACTTTCTAATTTGACCTTTGACATTCAGAGACCTGCAGAGACTTGGAGAACTGCAACCTGAACTGGCTGGAGCTGCTGATTTCTGTGCCACATATCTGCGCTGTCAGCTGCTGCTGATGAAGGTAGGGTTTTAGTGTCTACATGTGTGCGTGTCTACTGTGGTGTTTGTGAAAGAACCTCACATGTATGAGAAATAGATGGGGCTGCGGTCGTAGGCGAGGACCTCAAGCCCTCCAATCAATTGAATCATCAACTCTAGGTACTCAAGGTTCTAGAACTGTGAGACATTGGTGAGATCTCCACTATGTGGTTCTGGTCCAACTATTACTGTATGATCTTTGACCCTAATCATTTCTCCTCAGGCTCTGCAGGAGAAGCTGTGGAACTTGGCTGTTCCTCTGTGCCTCAAACAGAACGTCACTGCAACAGCAGCAGCTCAGCAGGTCAGTCCTCTCCGACCGTACCACACTTACATCAGCAGGTGGTGTGATTTAACTCTCAGTCTGTGTTTGTGTGTGTGTGTGTAGATCTTGGAGGAAACATATAAGCTGGAGTTTCTGTACAGTGGTTTGGAGAACAGACAGGTGGCCTCTATACATCATGTCCGTTTACAGGCCAAAGCTCTGCAGCTCATCCTGACGGCACGCACTAAACAGGGGTCAGTGGTTCACACACACACACATGCAGCTTTCACTGGAGGTGGACCACAGATCAGTTCAGGTCTAAGTACCTGTTTCTCTTGTCCTCAGGTTGGATCTTCTGATGAGCAGCTGTGAAAAGTTTTTACAGGAGATTGATTCTTTTCAAAGGTGAAGTTTTGACTTTTTTTTAAATCCACATTTCTTTCTTATTCAGCTGAACTTTCTGCACCCTTTCTCTTTCTATGAACCAGGCTATTCCTGACAGAGTTGCCTCACCTCCAGGACAGTTTTGTGGATAAGCTGCTGGAGCTGATGCCTCGACTGTCGAACTGTAAACCAGCAGAACTGGTGAAGATCCTGCAGACCACGCTCAGACAGAGTGGCCTGCTGCAGCTCCAACTGCCTAATCAGGTGGAAAGAAACGTAAACACTGCTGTTTTTACACCAATGAAAAGTCTGTTCTCTTGTTTGAATTCTCATTTCCTCACCTCTCAGCAGATCCACCGGGCCACAGCCACCATCATAGAGCCCACAGGGGAGTCTGACAATCCGCTGCGCTTTACATCTGGCCTGGTGGTGGCACTCGATATTGATGCAACGCTGGAACACATCCAGGATCCTCAGAAGAGTGTCAAGGTCCAGGTCGGTTTCAAACATCTTCATGAGACATGTCCAGACAGCTGGTTTGTCTTTGTCCTCTGAGCCAAGGTCATGGCTGGACAAATAGAGAGATAACTCCAAGTGGAGATGAACATTGTCCCCTGTGCTGTGCTGCTGTTTAAATGGTTCATGCATGTTTTGATGTCATGTTCCATCTGCAGGTTCTTTATCCTGATGGACAGAGTCATGTGATCCATCCTAAACCTGGAGACTTCAGAAAGCCTGGTCCTCACAGACACAGACTCATCACACAAGTGTACCTTTCACACACAGCATGGACAGGTGAGTTTAACACACACACTCACACACTTGGTGTTTTAAAAAAAGTTGTAAAGTCTCTTTTTTTTTTTTTTTTCAGAACCTTCTCAGATTGAAGTGCGCCTCCTCCTGGCCTATAGCTCCTCCTCCTTTTCCTCGCTCTCATCTTTGGCAGTTAACCAGTGGAGTGAAAGCATGGACAGTGTACCACCATCAGAGGCCGCTGTTGAAGGAACCATCGAGTTGAGTAAAGCAGTCAAAGTTTTCATCATGCCTAAACCTGCCCGACGATGAAGACTGCTGACAGGAAGAGGAGAGCAGTCACACTGAGGAGGTGCTGTTACTCCTCACGTCTCTGTGCTTGTACTTTTTACTTTAGTTTTTTTTTTTCATAAAGACAGATGTGACCCACTGGTGAAGTTTGATTTCTGATGATAATCATTTACATCATGATGAGGTTTGAACTTCCAGATAAGGTCACCATGAAAGAACAGGGGTCGCACCAGGGTCCATGAGTTAGTGGTGATAAAATCCTGTGTTTACACATCAACACTCAGAACCAAAAACACTGATAACAGTTCAACGCCCTGTTTATTAAAGACTCAGTCCAATCACATGTCCAGTCAGACTCCAACCACACCAGTCAAAAGTCTTCTTTTGTAAACACCTTTGGATGGATGAATTCTTCACTTTTCACCCAAAATATCTTTCTGTCACCGAGCAGCTTCTGCTTCACCTCCCTGTGAGCTGCAGGTGGTGCAGCGACAAAAAGGAGCAGTATCAGCAGGTGGAGTGGAAGACTCCTCCTACCTTGGCCCCCTGTCTGACAAGTCTATTGTACTCAGCTACAGCCTTCTCTGTCTGCAGGACTGTGACACTGACGCCTGCCCGCTCCACGTAGTCCAGGGTGGAGGGAGGGACCTGGGGAGAGGGGGAGAGAGGGCTTAGAGGAGCAGGGAAAAATGAGATGAGAGGTCATGAAATGAAAGGAGAGGAGAAGAGAATAAAGTCCATCACCGCTCTCAAAACTAAAACTTTGACCTGTTCTGGATCCAGATGTTGGAGTGAAGTCAACTCCAGTCAATCAGCAGGACATAACAACCAGCATGTTTCTAAACAGGAAGTACTTGTGTCACACACCTAGTGTCAGTGTGATACCTGCAGAGCTTCACTCATCCCTCGGCCAATCACCAGCTGCTCAATGCCCTTCTTCAGAACCTCCTCCACATCAGCAGGCTGCACTCCTGGGTGGTGCTGGAATGGAAAAAAGGAGTAGAAAAATCTGTTTGTGACGTGTGTGCGTCATGTGTGTGTGGGACTCACGTTGGTTCCAGTCTCTCTCCAGTCCCAGGTCCTGCTACCTCCAGGCCACACCTTACAGTCCTTGTAGCTGGAGGAACACCCCTTTACCTTCATGAGGCCCCAGGACAGACAGTCGATCTCCGGGGAGGTCATGGCTGTTTGACGCCACCTGCTGGACCGTGTGTATAAGTGACACAGTACAGTGTTATTACACTGAGGTGTCCAGCTGCTGTCACACACACACTAAATTTCCTTTTTCAAAACTAATTAGACTGAAACTGTCTCTGAGTGTACAATTTACATCAGTTCTGTCCTGATACATACAGTTACGATAATTATCGTACGCGGGGCAACACTGAGCTGAGAATTCTTATCAAGGGATGAAAGGAAAGGTAAAAAAACGGATATTCTTGTGACTATCTATGTGATTGGACAGATTCATGACTAGTCTGAGGAGAGTTCTTGTGGCGACACCGAAGGAGTGTAAAAATAGACATATACAGTCGCTGGTTTGGTGGAGCTGACGTCACAGACGGATATGGTTTTATTCCTGCGTTTTCGAATAAAGAATAAAAAAGTAACCGTGAGAAAATGTCAGAGATATTGTTGTTTTTGTCACGTCAGGACAGAGAACTAATAGTAAACAACTTACCTCGTCTGTTGTCAAGTTTCCACTGTTGGTGCTTTCACTTCTTGATGATTTAAAGGAGCCGCAGCCGGGACGGTTGACGTGTCGGTCACGTGATCTGATCCACGCGTGAGTTAAGAGTAAACTAATAAATACCACTGACAGACTATCAGAGCCTCCATTTTGAAGAATGAGAAATAAAGTTTGTGAAATCAAACCCTTGTGAGAATAATGTTAATATTTTGAGAACCAATACCATGGACACATGATTGTTATTAATAATAATTCTTGATATTTTTCATTTTTAACAAGTAAGCTTTATTTATTTGTGAGGAAACAAAACTACAGTACTAATACTTGGTCAACGTATCCCCTATTTTCATTACCTTCTTTTAAGTAACGTTTTCACAAAGATTTTTCTAATTTTAATCTTTTATTCAACTTACTTTAAGATATATCTATACCCATATTTAAGGACTTTCATTTTATTCTTGCTAATTTTAAACTATTACTTGGCTAACATTTAGTTGGTTTTACTATTTTTTGTAAAGATTGCTAAATATTATGGGACTTTTGGTTGATAAGCCAATGCCCTTGAGCCCCTGTGATTTACAGTTGAACCACACAGTCTCTCACAGGGTACACAGTCTCTGTATCAGTAATTATTAGGGATGCCCGATATTAACTTTTTGCCGATATCCTACATGCCAATATTAAGTAAACACTTTCTGATACCGATCTATGCAGCCGTTTGGCAAAACCCAGGCATTGTTATCAGGTTTTCATTATCAGAGGAGAAACTGATAATGATTTTTACAGATATTACATAATTATGCTAATATCGGGACGATGATATAATTCGGCCGATATCGTCTGTAATTACCCGTGAGCATAAACTTGTTTTTCTCAGCGCCTCCTATTGGCACATGAATGTACCGCAGGTATGCTGCTAATGGATGAAGGAAATAAGGTGAAGGACACAAGCAGAATAACAACCTGTGCTTTTATTCTGACAAATACACCTGTCGATGTGACCTTTGGCCTTTTCAAACAACCCAGCTGTGCTTTTTCTGTCTTTGTCTTCGTCTCTCCTGTCCTGCTCTCAGGTCCTGCACCTCACTCAGCATCACATTGCCCAAACCTCTGCTCCACTTGATCATGATGATCATGTGACAGAGTGAGTGACCACAACATTTATGGTGATTCCAAAAGCCAGGATGAGGACCATGACGACCAGAACCATGCCTCGTCTCAAGATCAGTGTTCTGAGAGGTTGCTGCTGCTGCTCCTGCTCCTGCTGCTGCTGCTGCTCCTGCTGCTGCTGCTCCTGCTGCTCTGCTGCTCCTGCTCCTGCTGCTTCTTTTGCCTCTTTATGCTGGATTGCAGCACAACATCCATCAGCTCCACCGTGTCCAACTGTTTTGGTGAGTTAGCACTATCTTCTACACATAGGCCTGGATAACACAGGGGCATGTGTGTGAATTCTCTGCTACTGTACTACTGATGAATATTGAAGCTTTTCAGTTCAGGAAACTAATACCAGGTTAAGACAGTGAAAACATGGCTGCCAGTGGGAATAATCCAAAATCTGTGACAGTAATTGCTAACATCACGGTTTTCCAACTTGGCACTTGTGTTTGACAATGAGGTCCAGCTAGACACTCTTTGGACTTCGGAAGTTGTCTTTTTAGATCCAGCTCTTTGTCCTGAATCATCCAACCTTTTTCTGATCTGTTACTGTAGCTTCAGTCTTTTCACTAAGCTGAAACCATTTTTCCTGTATCTCCACTGATAACCATGTTTTCACTGAGTGCCTGATGTGTAGTTGTAGTTTCTTTACAGCGCCCCTTACTGGTGACTGTGTGGCTGGGGTAGAGTCCTGCTCTGCATTTAGCCTGTTGGTGATAAAAAATAAAAGTGAGGAATCATTTGATAAAGAAGCAGAAACATCTGTCAGCAGAAAATCTGACCTCCATCATAGCTGTACCCCAGTCCATCCTGACCAGGAACAGAACCAGAACAGAGGACTGCAGAAACACACAGGTGAGCAGGCCGACCCACAAACCTGAAAAAAGACAAAGGTCGTTAGAGAAACATATATCATCTGCAGGAGGAGCAGAGGAAATACTGAAACGTCCTTTTTGTGAAATTCACCTTTGATCCCTAACTTGGCTGAAAACATCAGAGGAAGACCAACGGGTAAACCAACACCGTAATATCCTAGAATGTTACATACAGCACCGATTTTCTGTTTACCAGCTCCACGTATGACACCAGATGAAGCAGCCTGAAACGGTCAGATGGAGGAGATAAATGAACCTGATGACAGTTCATTGGTCAGTCGGTCAGTGAGGGGCTGGTCGGTCAGTAGGTCAGTCAGTGAGTTAGTGAGTGAGTTATTCATTCATCCATTCTTCCTCTACCACTTAGTTCTTCTTGGAGCTGCAGGTTCACAACCTAGACAGTTCTCTGGTCCATCACAGCATCACATGTGCTGTAAGTAAGATGATGTAATGTTAATCATAGACTCACACTGACGGCATCGAAGACCATTAGTGAAGCATAGACAGGGATGACTTCAGCCACTCTCTGTCTGATCTGTCTGTGGAAACAGAACAGACAAACAGTACAAATAAATTATCACAGTGAGTGAAGTCAGTCAGCTGAGTCTTTACCAACTGAGAGGTCAGTCAGCTCAGTCTTTACCTCCTTTCCTATGGGTTAATTAGAAAACAGATGGCGACTAAAAGTCATCATCAATCAACCAGGTTCTGAATATTCACTGCCCTCTACAGTGTCTGTGTGGACCCATGCGGTGTTGAAGAACTTTAATTCATCACATACTGACGTTTTAATCAGTATGTGATTAAAACATACATAAAATCAGTATGTGTTGTGTTTGAAACCTTGTCTTGGTAAAAAACATATATCAGACAAGTTTAATCTATTAAATCTATTATTTATTACAATGACATCATGACACACACATGTTTATATACACAGCTTCATACACACAGACACACACACACACCGGAAACATGAGTGAGTTTACCTCATTTGTGTTTGGGCAAAGGTTAACGTTTTCTACTCACTTAATGACTGACAGAGGGTGAAAGGTGATAACACTCAGGTGAAGGTTGCTCAAACACATGCTATTGGGGCTGAGTCAGGATGAAGATCTGAGTTTATGTGTGTGTCATACTCACTGGTCATTAGTGAAAACATAGGCGATGTGATCCTTCAGGCTCCCAAAGAGAACAGATAAGAGCAGAGATACCAGGCCTGAAAGAAACACCCTGATGTCAAGGAGCGTCGTGAAGTGAACTGACAGTTGAGGAGAATTTACCTTCACATGTTAAACATTAACATGACCTGTCATGTAACCATGACACAGCACATGGCCGGTGTACATCTAAATATTACTGACGTCTAACACACATGCCTGTATTGCTGGATGTAGGTGTGTGAAAGAGTTATTTATTATATTTTAGGTCTTATTCAAAGCTAAAGTCCAGTGGAAAAATTAGCAAACAAGTTGAAAAGGGAAACAGGAAGTGACTGAGGAACTGAACATGGTAACCATAGTGACTTTGAACAATTCCATGGATGAAATCAAGTTTCAGGAGAAACCCAGATAAAACCCTGGTGTGACTCAATGACTTTGCGTGTCTGCACTCACCTGCAAAGAAGATGACCATTTTGGCCGACCGTTTGGCATGATCCTTCTCTCCGGCTCCCAAGAAATAGCCAACTCTCACGTTGCCGGCTGTTGCAAAACCGATGGGGAACTAAGAGAAGTGAAATATTAACTCTATTGAAGGTGGGAAAGATGATGGATTCAAAATGAGGAAAATCACCATGAAAGCAAAGGTAGATAGCTGGTACACCGTTGCTTGAGCTCCAAGTTCAACTTCACTGATGAGACCTGAAAAATGAGAAAGTCCAGGTGACACACACACACACACACGGGTGATACACATGGTCATGTCCAATCTACAAACTGGTTAGACTAGGCCTAGTGGTTTGGTTGTCACCTGCCAGGAATCCTCCAAGCTCATAGGTCCACCACTCCACACACATCATTACAAGACCGGGAATGGCCAGCTTGGCAAACGAGCCCCAGTCCTCCAGACACTCTTTGGACCAACCTGTTGATCAGAACCAGGCTGAACATCAACTGAAGTTGATGAGTATTTCCAGCAGTGCGGCTGCACCAGCACAATCTCCAAAAACATTTTCAGAAAAAAAAAAAAAGTCTGGATCAAAAAATGATCCGCTGTGTATTCAACGACTTGCTAAGTCTGGATCAAAGAATGATCCGCTGTGTATTCAACGACTTGAAGGCTACAGGAAAAACCTGCTCACACCCTCACCCCTCTGAATAACCATTGATCTTCACCTGTGACAAACCCAGCTTAACATCCGTGTATAAACATGTCAAACCCCTTCAAACCTCCAGGCAGTTCTTACCTCCCCAGGTGGCCTTATGGAGACCTTTCCATCTGATGTAAGTGTAGAGAATTCCAGGCATGGAGATCTCAGAAATCAAGTTGGCAGCAGCAGAACCACTGTAAAAGAACAACACTTTGTTCTGTGACAATCTTTGCATAACTCTGGCTCAGGGATCACAGACAGGTCAGAACCGTTACTCACGCCACTCCTAGATGGAAGACAAAGAGGAAAATGTAGTTTAGGAGGGCGTTGAGGAGATTGACCAGCAAGCCATTGATGACCGGTGGCCAGACGATGCCCTGGAAGTCAGAGAGGCAGTTTTCAGTACAGTCAGACCTGAAGTGTGCTGATGTCACAGCAGGAACGTTCTGAGAACCATCATCAGTCTCTGGTCTCACCTGGTTTTGCAGGTACTTAATTAATAAAGTATGCATAAAAGTAGCCTGTAGAAAGAACACACCACAGCAGTGAGGATTGAGCATCCCTATGTTCTACTGTATAGAATTACATATACAGTGTATCATTACATGTATGGATACTCACAGGAAGTGCTGGCATAAAAATCTTCACATACTCGTGAGACAACCTAGAACCGAGACAAACCATGAGAAGGTCAGTGTGTTTAACAGAGCGATGACATCATCACAGACGCAAACACAGTCCGTGAAATGTTATAAGACACATGTAATTTTTTTTTCTTTTTTAGGGGAAATGTACAACACCACATCAATACACCCACAGACCCATGTTGTGGACCCCCTTTTGAACACCTCTGCAAAAAAATCACTAAGTGATAAAAAATCCCTTTAGGAGCAGCCGACTGACCGGGCCACCTCTGGTTCCTGATGGAACAGGAGCAGAATGGGTTCAGTGTTGATGACCACGGCCCAGCAGGGGAAACAGGTGAGCAGCAGGATGAGGACGGCTCGCTGCAGAATCACCCCCACCCTCAGGAGGTTCCCTCCGCCGAAGGTCTGGAAAATAGAGTCAGGTCGTGTTCTATAAGTGTTTCTGATCAAACCCTGGGTGTGCTTGGGTTGTGGCCCACCTGGGAAAACAGGGTGTCACACGCTGATGCCATCCCAATGCCCACAGATACTCCCATCGTATTAACAATCTGAGAACACCAACAACAGGATTAGGATTACATGTTTTGTTTATCTCATATAAACTTTTGTATGTTTATGTTAAACATTAATACATTTGACAATGAGTACAATGAGTTTGTTTGTGTGCACAAAGCAAACTATTGATTAACATGTCACAAGAGCTAAAACTTTCAGTTTTTCTTCTTATGTTCTCTGATGTTAAGTGGACAGTTAGCTAACATTGAGGTGAATAACTGATTCTGAACTAACAGAATTTGTCGTAACAGTAAAATAACTGTTAGTAACAAACACGCGGCTCAGCTGCACCTATCACAATTAGCGGGGTTTGGTCATAAGGAGCAGAGGAGCTTTAAAATGTGTTTAGACCAAATTAACATCCAGAGGTGTGATGTTAAAATCTCTGTATATATAGATATATATATATCACATGCTACAATAATACTGTTCTTACTCCTGTGGCCAGAGACACTGCGGCGAGCTGGACTTTCCCCAGGTGTCCACAGAAAACCGTGCTGACGAAACCCATCAGCAATAGCATCATGTGGGTAAACAACTGGGAGAAACACGCGGTCGGTTAGTTAAAGAACTTTACAATGAGACAGATGTTTTTGTTGAGAAGATGAGTGAGTGACATACTGCTGGTGTGGCCAGTTTCCATACTTCTTTAACTTCAGTCGTGTATCCGACAGGAACCAAACCACGGAACCATCGCATCAAAGAACCGCTCGTGATAGAAGAAGGAGAAATAAGTGGAGTTTGACCCCGACTGATCATAGTGAGGAACTTCTTACTTCTTATTGTTGTTTTTCTTCTTCTTCTTCTTTATCTTCTCATGTGTTGTGTTCTTCTTCAGCGACGCGTTCCTTATGGAAGGTTCTGTCTAATCAGACACTTTGGCATCTGCCAACTGAGTTTACTCTTAGTGGCTCCTCCTTCATGTGTTTGTGTGTCATCCGAGGTGTGTTGTGTGTATAATTGTAAAAGATAACGAACATATTGTCGTTATCATGCATTAATTGATTTCCCGTTGTGCTGCAGTGATAGTTTCCGGAGCCCGTATGTAGATGCCTGAAGTTTTACAGTATGTCACGGAGTCCGAGATAACAGGTGAACAACCTAGCAAATAATACGGCATTTCGATCTTTTACCCGTGAAGTGACAGTGAAAGTGAAGTGACTCCCACAAAGAGGGGGGGAACAGGAGGAGGGGGATGTCGTCATTCCATACATTTTAGGAGTTTCGGAAATGTTTTGGAGGATTTTTAACCAACACCAGATCCCCGTACATTTCAAACCTGGTAACACCCTAAGACAAGAACTGGTTTATCCCAAAGACAAGACTCCAAGGAACAAGCTGGACAATGCGGTTAATGCCATTCAGTGCAGTGAGGAGTGTACGGACCTGTACATTGGGGAGACTGAACAACCGCTACACAGGTACATGGCCCAGCACAGGAGGGCCAACTCCTCAGGACAGGACTCAGCTGTTCTCAAGGACGAAACACACTCCTTTGAGGACAACAATGTGCACATTTTGGCCAAGGAAGACAGATGGTTTGAGAGAGGGGTAAAAGAAGCCATTTTTGTCAACCTGGAAAAACCATCACTCACCAGAGGAGGTGGACTCAGACACAACCTATCACCCACATACAAAGCACTTTTAGGAACAATACCCAAAAGATTCAGTATTCGTCTGCTGTACTCCCCGCCACCAGTTAGAACTGAAGAAGCCTCTTGGATTAGAGGTGAAACACCTTCTTAGAAAATTCACGTCCAGTTGCTTAACAAAACTTTTTAAACTTGAAGTGACATTGTGTCGCTAGATGGCAGTGTTATGTCACAGATGAACTATCAACAAATAATCCCAAAAGTTAAGAACAAAGTTTTAAGAGGAAAAGCCTGTGGTTGACTCTGTCTCTTTATAAGCGTGTACGTAAGACTGCTTACAAAAAAAACTGTGTACAATATCGACAGTACACAGTACTGCACACTTCAGTTGACTCGCTTTATAAATAGCGTACAGTCGAATCGATGTACTAATTACACACAAGAGATACTGCCTGATTAGCTCCACCAAGGATTAATCATAAGCGAATGAATTAAGCAGTGTACCGTTCAGGAATATTTACGAAATCATTCCAAATAGGCTTTTCTCATTATGTTATAGTTGTTGTTTCTTATCTTTTTTTTTCTTGTTTGCGCTGCTTCCAGTCGTGTATATGTATTGTAGATGTTTTTTTTATCCAATATTTTTTCTGTCATCACGTGTTGCCACAGTCAAAACATTTGCCTTCAGAGATTTTGTTCAACCAATCAGAGTTGGCGATTTGAGTGATTTGATTCGATGGTGAATTGACACAGTATTGAATGGAGCAAACTGCAGCTGGCGACATGCACGCGCAAAAAAAAAAAGTTTTATCTGTGTCCGCTACTTCTGCTGAGTGCACAAGGAAAGAGAGGAGGGATTTTGTCAGTGTAGTTAGCACCGTGTGAATAAATCCACATCTTAATGACGCCATAATGACAACAGAAATCATCACTATTATGCAGCAATGTATTATAACAATTCTTCAATAATACTTTAAAATATATATATCATTAAAGTTAGTGGCCATCAAGGTCAGCAAAGCCTTCTCTGCTGGTCTAAACAGTATAAGAACTTATTTTTCAATATTTATCACGAACTATTATAAAACAATACAGAGTATTCTGTTCTATTCATTTATTCTGGTTTTCTCTGGTTTTTCTCCCAGTTGCGTATAATTTTTGTTGTTTGTTTGTTTGTTTTTAACCCAAAAAGCCTCAAAGTCTTAAAGCGCCGGGAGCCGAATATGAATGGCACTGAGGTTGTTTTAACCAATCAATTCTGAGTTGGCATTGAGCTGGCGTAGTAAGGCCTTCTAGCTGGCCCAGAGTGGCGTTGGTGATTTGAGTGATTTGATTGGCTGGCCAGAGAACACACAGTCTCGAATCAAACAAACTACCTATCGATTATGTAGTTTTCTCTGTGTCCACATTATCAGCCTGAAGCGAATTAAAACTCACGCCATGAATACGACAGGACAGACGGGATTTTTGACATTAGAGGGGATGGGGATAGAAAAAGACTTTGTGTTAGAACTGGAGCGTACGGATAATCTGCGGAGTAATTGAACTAATGTTAAGGAACGAGAGAAGAATGGATCTTGTGAAGAACTAATCAGACGTTTTTGGTTAGTAAAATGCATTTTGTGTTTTTAATAATAATGTAATTGTCTTATTTTTTGATATTGATGCTTTTTGGTATACATTATGTCTCTCTGTTGCTGAATTTTGCTTCGTGGCTTTGTTGCTTTAGTAATAACGTTATTATGGCAACGTCGTGGATGCATATTATGGATGGTTTCTAAAGAGATAATGACGTCATTGAGATATGAACTCATTTAGGCAGGGCACCAGGCCTATGTGAGACATGAAGGATACGCCACTGATTTAAGTGTATGATTAAAAGTGCAACTAGACTGTGTCAGTATTGCAGTCCTTCCACTGGATGTCTCTGTTCCTGAAAGTGATCGCCTCTGACGGTCTGTTTCTTTAAGCAGCACACCCGCACCCACACAGGCACGTACACACACAGGCACGACAGAGCAGCAGCAGCTGGAGAGAGTGTCAGTGTGTGTCAGTGTGTTTGTGAGTGTGAGTGAAAATCTCTCCGTCGTTGGAGGTGGAAGAGGTGGAGGAAGTGTCTCCGCGGCGGGTCCTCGCGCACGTCCAGATCCAGGATTCAAACCCCTCCGCCCGGCCTCTTTTTCTTCTTTTTTTTCCTACGGAAGTGTCTCCGTCGCCGGGCTTCGTCATGTCTGAGTTCCTGGAGGGTCTGCTCGGGGAGCGGCTCGTCAACAGTGAGAAAGCCGAGGTGGACGTTAGCTCCCTGGGCTCCAGAGTGTCGCTGCTCGGGCTCTTTTTCGGCTGCAGCCTGAACGCACCATGTCAGCAGTTCAACGGTAGCCTGTGTGAGTTCTACAGCCGCTTCAAGAAGAGCTCCGAGCACCGGGAGCAGCTGGAGGTGGTCTTCATCTCCTCCGACCAGGAGCAGAAACACTGGCAGGACTTCCTGCAGCAGATGCCGTGGCCTGCGCTGCCTTTCAAAGAGAGACACAAGAAGGTACGTAAACGCATCACTGGGGAGGCTTCGAGGCCCCCTATGAGGGAGGGACGATGTCCACTAGGTAGATCTGAGTGTTAGGGAGCATTTCTCTGACCCAGCCTGGTTTGTTGGGTTTTTGAGGTTTCGGTGCAGGTTTGGAAGGTTTTTAAGACCTCACTCACTTTGTGTTTGACTTGCTCTGTGGACAGTAGTCATTTTTGCTCATGTTCAACGTTTGAACATTTTCTTACTTTTTAGGAATTATTTATTGTTCATTTTCTCTGTTCATGTGTCCCATTAAAAAGAAATAGGCACAGAAACTACATGTTCATTTTCCTGATGTGGATCAATAACATCTCCAGTCATGTCAGTTTTCCCTGCAGCAGGCCAGAGTCAAATCATTTAAATTTTAATTATTTTTTAAGATTGTCTTTATGTTGAATTCATAGCAACGACTGAATGTGTTAGACTTTCACTTATACATTCTACAGAGTTCAACAAAGGAAATGAGATAAGAACTCATCTCCTTCTTTTCCTCTAACTGAACACTGTGGTTCTGTTTGATCCACATTCCTGCAGGTGAAGCTGCTCAATGACCAATCACATCTAGGACGTTCCCTCATTGATTGAGGTTTATTTTTTTCTTTTGCTTTATTTTCATTTTTGTCTCCAGTGACTTATGACTAACAATGTTCTAAAATCACTGACATACAGTCGCAGTGATTTACTCCCACGCCTCTGCTTTTTATTCTTTATTTGGGAATTATATTTACGAACGAATAGTTATGCACTTTTAACAGTTCACTTTATGTTTTATTTTAATATTTATGTTTCCACAACATTTGGTCAAATATGTTTTTTGTTTAGAATAGTTGAGATTTTATCTCACAGGTTGTACTCCATCCATCTTTCTAACTATAATAATAATAATAATAATAATGATAACAACAATAATATGTTAATAACATATGTTATAGTATTACAGCATTATTATTATTAATGTTACTATATAGGTGTGTGGTTTGAGGTGCAGAAACACACACACACCCAGCCATGGCCACAGTGCAGTATCATCTTCTGTCTCCCTGCTGCTGTAGAACCGTTGACACTCTGATTGACACTCTGATTGTTATTGTCTCTGGTTGGACGGAGATGCCGTCGTACGTCTGTGTGTGAGATTCTGCCAACTTTCAGCCGTGGCTCAGACACCATGACAACACACCCACAGCCGTTCACACTCCACTGAGCAGCTTCATGAATATGATGTGTGCAAAAGTAGAAGTAACCGTTAGAGTCTGGAGGTGAAGTCAGGGAGGAGGTGCAGATGTCTGACCAAGAATGTTAGAGCTGGAGAAAACCAGAGAAGGTTGATGGATGTGGTTGGATGTCACAGTCAGGTGGAGTCAGCCAGAAAGAAACATTTACCATTGAAAGTATTCATTTTTCTTACCTCTAATAGATTA